TTCATTATACACATACATTCAACTTAGGGTTGGTGATTCATTGTACATATATTATGAAAGCCAAACGAAGGAAAAAAAAAATCAAGAAATTGATTAAGAAGCTAAGAGTCTGTTCTTTACCGTTTTCTGTTTTCGATTTTCCAAAACAACGAAAACGCGTTTTTGAAAACAAGTTAAAAATTTACAAAGAAAACTGTGTTTTCACTTATAATCAAATCAAAATTTTCAAAATGCCAATTTGAGTGATTTTTGAAAACAATTTTTCAAAATGCTAAAAAGAACACATTTTCAACAATTTCAAAATGGACACTCAAAACACAAAACTCAAAATGAATTGAAAACTCAAAACATAAAATTGAAATACTAAGAGAACAACCCCTAATATTTCAAGATTTTACAAGAATAAGACGGAATCTTGGTGCAAGATCTTCATCTTCTTCACGTTTTTCCTTAAAATTCAGTGATTTACTTTAATTCATTCTTGTTTTATTCTTCACACATGATGTGTAATTAAGTATTCATTTTGGATGAGTGATTGTAATTTAGTTTTGAACCTTTATTTTAATTAAAAAGTTTTAAATCTCCAATTGATTGTGTAAATTGTTTTTACTTCCGATCTTAATACTTGGTTTAATTGGCCACTAATTAATTGATTTTGCGAGCAATAATTACGTAGAGATGTAAATTATTTGTTTAGACCACTTAGTAAAATTGTGAATTAGTATAAAAGTGTAGAGATATATTTTCTAGTTAATGTGGTCTTACATGGATTCTTAGAGATTTAATGTGTTTATCTAAGGTGTATCTGTATTCACATAGAGATATAGAATTGATTTAATTAAATAAAATCAATTTGAACTCTAAAAAGATAAATTGAATATGTAAGAAAAATTGGACTGGGTAAACAAAATCAATTGTATAGAATTTGGTAATTGAGATAAAAGGACACTTATGGTGAATTCATACATCCTAAAACTTAAACATCATATTAAAATAATTACTTTTATTGTTTTACTATATTTAAAATAAAAATCACAAAATAAGATAAACTACTTTTATTTGTTTTTAATTAAATTAAAGTTAAGAATAATTTGACCAACTATTATATAGTAGTTCTCGTGGGAACAATATCTGGACTCTTATGTTCACTTTATTATTTGTTATAATTCGTACACTTGCAAGATATGAAATCAACAATATTAGACTTTTAAGAATAAGAGGGAGATTGCGAAGTTTAATTTTGGGATATTGCATACACTCTGTGTTTTTTATTCATTAATTATGTGTTCTTTTTCTTCTTATACTACTACTACTTAAGCTTAAATAAATACACTCTAAACTAGTTTCTTAGACAGTCACTTGCATAAATCTTTTTCTCCCACATAGTTTGATTCATTGTTAGATAGAGAGAACTTGAAATGAATAAATTGTCATTTCCTTCCTACTATGTGCAGGCATACATAGAAACATGTCCGTTAGTTTCTTAGAGCAAATATTCCACAGTAAAAGCACCCCCAAACAAAACTATTGGCAACCAGCAATGATTCTTAGCAATTATATTGTAGGGAGATATAAATTAAATACGAAATAGAATAAAAGACAACTCTAAACAATCAAGAAAGGATTTTAAGCATCTAGAATTATATTAAAATTATAATGAGTATTATAAATCAAATTTAAGGAAATACTTATGATGATTCTGAGTAGTTAGTATTAGATTTATTTTATTCAAATAAACTAGATATAATTAATAAT